GAGATATATTAGTTTCTTGATAGCATATTCATCAGTCTGAAAGACGTTTTCATGTAATTTTATGAATTATACAAAAGCATTCAATTTTATTATCAGATTTGTTTCCGTTTGTATACACGCATAAATATACAACATTTCCTTTCTCGTTTTTAAAATTAATTTTTATGTTTGGGGCTACAGCAAGATGATGTATGTATGGAGGCACTGCAGCTTCGAATTTAATGCATAAAGCTAATGTATCTCAATTCTTCCTCTTTAATATCACTCGAGAGCTTTTTTCCGACAGTTATTCTGTAGGTCACAATAAGCAAATTCCTTTTCCTTACTGTGTAGAGACATTAGATTATTTCTAAGCAGGAGACATGAAAAATGAGCAAAGCCCCCGCCAGGACTCGAACCGCAGACCTCTCGAATACGCGTCGAGCGTGCTGACCACTACACCACGAAGGCATGGTAAGAAGGCGGAAGAAACACCCTATAACTGTAAACAATCGTGAAATAAAGTGATAGTTTATTGTTTAACCTTTTAGCTGATATCATATAAAGAATTAAAAAAAAATAAGCTTTTAAGTAACAAACTGCTGGGCATTGCATTTATCTGCGTAAATGCTGTCAATAACAAGCATCGCTAGGTTCGTCAATTTTGGAATTTGTTCGCTTCACGATGTTGTTATATGTTTTCGGAAGCTTTTCACTTTTTACATTTAATGTTGAAATAAACATAATAATATGAAAATCACGTCATAGAAATCTGAAACAATGTTTTTAGGACAGTTGATATGAATAATGATTTTACATCGTTATACAATTAGAGAGTAATTGATCACATTGAATTTTAATGAAACTTTTCCAAATAAGCCTTCGAAATCACGAAATCACTTACGCAAGCTACGAGTAGTTCCTAATGAAAGATTTTGTGATCCCTGATCTATAGAATGAAACCGAGATAATAAGTTGCTTAAAAAAAAAAAAAAAAAAAAAAAAAAAAAAAACTGGAGGTGAAATTTTTTTTCAGATCACCCGATTCCATCTCTCTCTCTCTTTTTTTATTTAATTTAACAAATGTAAACAGTTTCAGCTAAGCAAAGTTCTCGGATTTAAGTTAAGTGACAAAAATTTAGTAGCTTTGGACATATTACAAAATGTTTGCATATAATAGTGAATCATCAGGGAAGTTTACTGATTGACTTTAAAAAAAAATTCACGCTATTGTTTAAAATACTGGAAAGTTACCCGCAAAGAAAAAATGAAATTTCCTGTGTCATAAACTACTATATGCAATTCAAAACAATGCAGAAGAAAGAATCGGAAGTCAGCATGAGTTGACGAATGCTGCTTGGTGTCATACGAACAAATAGCAACAGGCATTTTTCGTTTGTTTATTATTTTTGCCCTTCACTTAATGCATTGTTTGATCAAGAACTGGTAACAACTGAAATTTGAGAAGGATTTTTGTGAAATCTGTTAAATTTAAGAAATCAGCCTGTGGGAAAAATGCTGCTTCGTTTTTTTCACAAAGTTTGCCTCGACCCCAAACAAGTGAGATGAATTCTTAGACACTTTCTCACTGAGCAAATCTTCATTAAATATATATGAGCATGCGCATTTTTGACAAAAGCAAAGAACTGATGTTCACCCTGCCTTCACTAGGTCAAGGCACTATGTAGATAAAAGAAATCTTTTCTGGGTAGGCATTGTTACGCTTTCAATAGTCTTACGATAAATTACTTTTGTAGTAAATATAGTATTAGAAGGTAATGCTATCATTCTGAGATTGGAAGAACCGTACCATTGTCTTTGTTTGGGTTGAACACAAGACCTGCGTTAATTTCAGAAAGCGCTTTATGCTACAGTTGCATAATGTTATTCCCTTTATTTTATTTCTTACTCTTTTTTTGATAATTCTGTGGTGTGGAAGTTATCTATAAAATTATTGTTTTTCATCTTTAAGGGCTGTGCAAGATTGTGATGTATGAATATCGTGTTAGAGATATAATTGAGAGTCTTTGTAATTTTTGAAAATATTTAAACACTAAATAACGGTGAATAACCTTTGTTCTGCATTTGAATTATTTTCTCCCGAGAATTTTTATTATGCCTCCAAGCGAAATGGACAAATTACTTTTATTTTAAGACTTGTATTCTTAAGTACTAATATACTGTGCCTTTACATTAAAAATGATAACCCTTGAATGGTTTGTTGTAATCAGTTGATCATATTTACATTAGAAGATTTCGTGCAATGTTTTTCTTAGATTAATGTAACCTCTGATGAAAATATAACTTTTAAGTAATAGGATAATGCAAGTAATTAAATGTGTAATGTAGATAGAAAGAATTATTATGTAAATGAGTTATTATTCAGATAGTAAGAATTATTATATAAAAGATGAGAATTATAAGTAATAAAAGGAAAACTGTAAGTCTGAGGTGGCCAACATTTGTACAACCAAGAGTCAATTTACGATTTGCGATAGCTCCACAGGATCACAATACATTTTCTTTGGTGAATATTGTTCGCAGCTAATACATAATTTCATAATTCACAATTTCGGAGTTTTTAATTTAATAATTTCATTAAATAATACATCTTAAAATAATATTCTTATGCATATAGTAATTATATCTATATACATCTACTCTGTATGTGTAAAATGCTTAATTTAAAACCGCCATAACAGTTTTTTTTTTTTTTTCCCACAACAGCAAAAAGAAAATTAAAGTGGTGGGACTGGAAATCATAAATTCTTTGCCAAGCATATGCAATCTTTAAATTTTTAAACTAATAATAAAATGTTAGCAACAGTTAAAGCTAGTATGCTTATTAAATTATTTTGATATTTTTCATTGATAGCGAAATTATTAACAAAATATCTACCATTCGGAAAGCAAATTCATCTCTGAAGTCAATGTAAAAGGATCTGACTGTTCTGTTTTATATTAATATACTTATTATGGTATAAAGACTGAGTATTATTAGTTGAACATCTCTTCGGATTCTTTTGAGAACTAATAGTTTATGCCGACTACAGTATGGGTATAAATCATGGGTTTTCTATTTCTCAGTTGTCTGCATTTCAGTTTTTCTCCTCTAAGATAAGTAGTTCATACATTTCACAAAAAGCTCTTCTCGTGCAAAACTTATCCATTTTAAAGGTTTAAACTTTAATTTACTACGCTTCTCTTGTTTACATTCTATAAGTAATAAAACAAACGCGGCGACCACAGTTGCCTTCTATGAAAGGACAAACAGTTCCCATCCACGTTTTCTCCGGAATTCGAACCCAGGACGGTCGATTAGACGGTCAGAGTCATTAACCGCTTTCCCGGCTGAGAGTCAGTCTCAGAAACAAATGTAAAAACACTGTAAATCTTATATTCTTAGCGTGAATTGTGAGATTATAATTATAGATCATCCATAGTAAAAATTTGATTCTAGCAAGAATTGAACCCTAAGTGTTTGTAGCTTTGCAGACGACTATTCTCTAGCTAAACTACGGATAATATTGGCCATGTATTTTTAATTTCTAATTAAATTTTATAGAATGGACAACACAGATCCTGTGTATGAATTTTCTTGTTTAACTATAAATATTTCTTAATGCATTGTAGAGTCATTAAGTTTTAAAAAAGAAGAAGAAGAAGAAAAAAAAAAAAAAAAAAAGCAGGAGAAATGAAAAATGAGCACTGCCCTCGGCTGGACTCGAACTACGGACCTCTCGAATACGCGCAGAGTATGGTGCCATTACACCACGAAGGCATGCTAAGAAGGCGGAAGAAATGCCTTATATACTCCCCTTTTTAAAGGACGACTGGGGATTAGGGAACCCAATCGCCAAATCTTAATGGTGGAGAATCATCGTCCACCACCTTTTTTAGTTAGGGCGCCACTGTAGAGACATTAGGTTATTTCAAAGCAAAAGGCATGACAGCTGAGCAATGCCGTCGTCGGGACTCGAACCAGGGACTTCTCGAATACGCGCCGAGTGTGCTGGCCATTACACCACGAAGGCATGCTAAGAAGACGGGAGAAACATAGCAATACATAGCATATTTCTTCTTACTAAGTAGTATAAATAAAAGAGTTAATTTTTAAATTGACTGTAATATTTAAGTGGTTTTTTAGTTTTTATCCAGTGACACATTACCTTATTTAATGCGAAACAATTTATCCTGTGATAAAGTCTTTAAAACTGCCGAACATTGGTAAGTTCGTCGAATTTTAGATTTGAGAATAATCGGATCTAGGTTTGGAGTTTTTCTCTCTAAATTTCTCTAGATGTATTGCAGAAAAATATTCCCTAAAAAGTCTTCCAAGGAAGGCAAGTCATAAAAGGCTGCTTGCCTTTTAAAGCCTTTGATAGGGCATTTACTACTACAACTAGTTCTTAAGATAGGTGAAACTAAAGTATATAAATTTCAGTTTTGGAAAATATAGAAAATACTTTTTGTCGCTGCTGAAAATTCATGAAATTTAAATTATTCATATATTAGCATAATAAAATTTAAAAAGCATGGCTTTAATGAAATTAGAAGTCAGGATTTAAAACTAGAAAACATATTTTAAATAAAGGTTTTGATTTCCTTGGTTAACCTTAGATACTTACTGAAGTGGACATGATGTCCTGAGAATTCGAGATTAATAATATAAAGAAAGTAATAGTGCAAATTTGCGGCATCACGGTCGGCTAGACCCAAAAACGTGCGATGCTGAAAGAAAAAAGGTCGCTGCAAAACAACAAAACACGTTTTTTATTCAAGAGTAGAAGACAACACGCCTATCAACGAAAGTTAATGACTTAAGCCAAGCTTTAAATCCGGGCTTTTAGCGAGCGATATAGAAAGTAACTCAAAGAAAAGGAACTTGGAGACATTTAAAGAACGGGGGGAGGAAAACCATTCAATGCATATGCCAAACTCCCTGTTACTAATATCCCAGCAGAGGGCGCGCATTACTTTCCTTTGCCATTCTTTCCCTCCTCTCTTTTTTTCCGGGTTAGGTTGCGCACGCAGGTATTCGACCAATGAATTTTCTGAGCTCAAAATTCAAGTTTTCTTCATTTAAACTTTTGCTTCTTTAGTGCGCATACTCTTAAAACAATTTCGAAAATAAGAATCTATGAAATCTTATCAAGATTTGATTTTTTACTCATAAAATTAACAAACAAAATAAGCTTATTATTATTATTTCTTCTACTATTATTATAAATGAATTTTAAATTAAAATTTTAAAATACTAAAAGTATGATAATGATTTAACTATCATGAAAAGCATTTCATGTTTTGAAGAATAATTGTCTTCGGAACAATTCTCTCAATGCTATATTTTGTGAGTTTTTTAGCAAGAATGAAGACGCAACGAATACCGTTAATAATTATCAATATTCTGTTGATTTTTGTATCTGGCTGTGCTACATTCCCTTCAGGAGCTACAGTAGAAGCATGTGATTCCCTTTTGCCACGACATTTACACACAAAACCCAGAGAACTTTCTGAATCACCTTACGTATTTACCGCATCAGCGAGCAGTTATTATCCCGATTCAAAAAGAAGAAAAATTAAAGGTAAGTCTGTTAATGATAACTTATTGTAACTTATTAATATATTAATTTTAAACTCTATCATGTATGATATTCCTATGGTAAATTTCATTTTTTTTATCTTTTTATTTATACGATCAAACGTGATATACGTGGTAAGATTAAAAAGGGATTTTATTGATTTCTGTCGAATATTAGTTACAATGCATGAAAAAAAACTTAATGACAGCAATGAGCAAGAGTTCGCGAAATATGCATTTTTAAAACTCGTTGCCCTCGATGAACTATATTTTTTTTAATCGATTCGTAACGAAATACTGCTCTAAGAGAAGTGAAACGTTTTGTTTTCAATTTTTGACGCTTTAGTACATCATATATTTGAATTTTAATGAAAATAATAAAGCAATATCACAAAATCCAATGACTGTGACAAACTTGTGCCCAAAACTGGATGAATTCAATAGGTCAACTTTAATCTCTGTGGACCAACTTATGTAAACTTCGAGAAAGATATCAGCGCTTTTTCTACGCGAAATTCCTCTACAGAAAGTAGAAATTATAATCACTTCGTCTGCGAAAAATATTTATTACAAGCTTCATGTTCAAGCGCTGCAATGAAGCAAATACACAATTTTGCCTTGAATAATTTTCAATCCGCTTATATCGCAATTAGCCAGTTCTCAAACGGTTGCCATATATCTTATTTTTTTCTTTTTTTGAAATTTAATCATAAGTTTTTATTTTGTTACTAATAAATCTAATTTATATAATTTAAAGGTAATTGTTATAAAAATTTATCCAGCTGATAATTTTTTTAATATTTGCCGCATGATTCTGATTGATATTAAAGATGTTTCTAGTATCGTATGTTGTGGCACTACAGAATTGTTAGGTTTTTAACATCTCAAAAGGGACGTTTTTAATAGCTTTCTTGAACACATTTTTCTCTCTTAATAAGTTCAAAAGGCGGTCTGCAAAAAATATTTCTCGCAAATGAGTGACAGAAATGTCCGTATTTCCAGAACTCGAAATTTACATGGCGAAATCATAAGGTACCACCTAGCCCCTTTCCGTTTTTTTGCTGTCAGTTAGAAGAGGTATGATTATAGACTTTCTCAAGACATGATTTTACAGATTGGCTTAGCCTATAAGTTCTGGTCCTACCCTGTGAAAACATAAACCTTTTTTTTAAAAAAAAGGTTTAGGTTTTCACAAAAATAAATAAGAAATGAACAACAAATCAATTTACATTCTTCCGCTGGTCTTTACTCTTGCTTTCCTACGTTCAACAAGTTCTTCAATGCCCGGACAGTAGAAATCACCGTCTTTTTGAACAGCTTAAACCAATTTTTAACTGTTGTAAGAGGCATCGCAGTTTCGCCATACACTTCACAAATTTCTCGAGCAGTTTCTGCGGCTTCGGTACCTCAGTCAAACGCAAAAATGTGTCGAAAATGCTCTTTTTTGTCGACTTGACACTTCATTTTAATGGCATGTAAAGAACAAAAAAGCATATCAGCGCAAAAACTAAACACACTATTTTGCAGACCACATAATTCTTTAACGAAAAATATAAAACGTGTTTCCAAAACATTTTATTTTTCATACAAAATTTTCACTTAATAAATAAATAAATAAAAATTAAATTAAATAAAAGAAATCTGAAAGGTTTCAGATTTTAAATCGCGCCCAAAGGGGCGTTGTTTTTAACGTTTTGTGTGTTACCTTTATTTATTGAATATCATGTTCTACGTACTCAAACTATAAAATTCAGTTCAACAGCAATATCGCAAATTAATTTTAAAATGAGCATATCTTTAGAATTTTCGATGCAGAGTCTCGCGCGCTAAAGATTTTTTTTTTTTTTTTTTAGCATTGCTATTGCTCACTTTAAAATCATTTAAAATTAGGGCTTCCACATGCCCATATTCTATGGAAGATTACATAGTCAAATTTTGATGGCCCCAGGTGCCGTTGTTTTATCACAATGCGAGAAACACATATATTTATGCAGATTCTTCATTATTTAATTTCTTTAAATATAACACAGGGCGATAATATTTGGTGGCAACAAGTTTAAAAGTGAAACGGACATTTAAAGTTTTGGACACAAAAATGCCAAAACGAAATTTCTGGGCTCCCTTTGTGCTAAAAAAGAACGCCAGGATTATGCTAACCCAGTGTGTTAAATCATGTCTTGAAAAAATAAAATCTGTAAACATGCCATTTCTAAGTGACACCAAGAACGGAAAGAGGCTAGAAGAAATCTATGATTTCGCCAAAAGTCGAACTGAATTCCATATTTACTGAAAAGATGTACTCTTTAATGACTTTCATACCAGCTTGTTAATTAATAATTAGCATTTTGTGAGGAATTGTTAAATTTATGCAGAAATTTACATATACTGTTATCGATGTATTAAAATATTGGGAGTATAAAGGATATAATATAACCTTGGTATTGTAATTTTGAATAGTAAAATAAATAAGGAATTCTTTAAATCCGCCCTTTTGTAGCATAATTCTACTCACGTTAGTCTAAATTTAACATTGATGGTGGTCTGTCAAACATCAAGAATTCTTCTTACTGAAAGAAACTGTTCCAAGATTCAAAATATGAAGAATTTTAAAAACACAGAATTTTAGTAATAATGAATGTATGTATAATGTATGTAGCGGTAAGGAATATTTAATACGATTTGCATTAATTAAAATTAATTACATTTTTTTTACATATTTTCAGTTTTAATTGTAAATTTATTTTCTAAATATTAGACTGGAGGAGTCTAAATATTAAACTGGAGACTAAGAGGAGTTTTAATTTTTTAATATTAGGAGTTTTAATTTTTTAAGCGTAAGTTTATTTCTTTCAATGTTTTGATTTCTTTTCATCTTCAGGGAAATATTCTTTATTTGCAGAGGATTAAATATTAACTACATTTTCATTTTTAGTGTTTACAGAAATGATCGGAAATTTTGATTTTCTTAAATTAATATCAGAAATTTTAAACAGAAAAAACTGAACTAATGAAACGTGGTTTTCTTTTAAGTATGCGCCTACTTCTTTTTTTAAAAACATTTTTTTAAAGAAGACACTAACTCAAAAATTAATATCTTTTTTCTTGAACAAAAGAATCCTGCAGCTAAAGAAATTGAATACTTACTTCTCAGTCAAATAAAATCAGGAAATATACTTCTAAACATTTTTCTATTATTTTTTGGAATATTGTTACCTTTTAAAACAGAGTTTAACATTTTTGGTATGAATTGAACGAGAACTTCATTACTTCTAACTAAATTTTCCTCTATCCATCTTGTATTACTAATAAATATTGCTGCTGTTTTAAAGAAGTAATTTGTTTTCAAACTTTATGTTTAATTTCTGGCGAAATATGTTCAGTTGGTTTAAATACTTGAGTATTTTGGAATAATTAAACATAAATCAGGGTCCCACATAGGAGTTGTTGTCTCGAAATCGAAATTATTTTAGAGGTTAAATTTAGTTCTAATGATATCAAATTTAATTTTAAAACTATTAATATGTGTGCATTGAACCATTACACGACAGTAAGTTTGCACCTTCATTTTGCAATCTTATTGATCATGCATACAGTTGTCAAAATTCCTCCTCAACAATGCCCTGTTGTTGAACAACAAGTTCAATTTTTTTAATTATTTTTTTGACTACTTGGTCATTATATCCAACAAGGAAGATAATTGTTTTGAAACTCTTGGAATCATAAAATACTCTTCATGATTAATAATATAACGCTGCAATTCTGGGAGTGCTCAAGAACATTCATTCATAACATAAGTCTTCGAATACTTTAATGCAGGGGTGCCCAAATTTTTTGAGGAGCCCCTTTCTAGAATCAGTTTCTACAGCGGAGTCTCTGAGTCTTACTCTGTGCATTATTAGTTATTGAGTTAGATTAGAGGTAGTGTTAGGAGGAGGAAGAGGGGATAGCTAGCTAGTATATGAATGTAAAATAAAGAGATATCTAAGCAGCAGCACAATACCCATACAAAAATTTTTTTAACTTTAAAATTTCCAATAATTTCTCGGTTTATTTTCAACTGTCAACCAACACCCATAAATCGGACACATAGAAAAGTTACTTCAAAGTTCAAAACCATTTGCGTTGCAACAGACGATTGGTGACTAGCAACAATAAAATAGATCCATACAATAAACACAGATCCTTCAGTTTAGTGAATATTTCAAATTCAATTTAAATACGTATTTGTTCATAATTTGTTATTCAAATTTGTTTTTATTCCTTACAAAAACCAATTTCAATTTAATTTTACAAACTAGAATGTTCTCTAGTGCAACAGACATAATTAAGACATAACACAAACTAGCATGTAAACGTTTAATGAGACATGCACGGTTGTGGGTTTCATAATTTAACTCATTTAATGATAATTGCAGTGTTGTGTATGGTTCTTCATCTAAGCGGCTTCTGCATTTTGCTTTGATACTTGGATAGGCGGAGAATAATACTTCACAGAGATATGTAGCTGAGAAAAGCAACAATATTAATATACTTTTTTAGACAAGATTTTAAATTGATCTTGTAAATGCAGCTCAACTCCAGTACATTTTTGTTTTGAAAAGAAAATTTTAGTTCTCTGGTGAGATGCCGTTATATAATAATCTCATCTTCAGAATTTGGGCTGTTTTTGTTTTGTTTTGTTTGTTTGTTCATGCTGAGCTCATTCAGATCATCGGGTACCTTCTCTTAAAGTTGTCGGGAAACAATATTTTAAAAAAATATTTCAAAACATCGACATTTTTTTTTAAAAATATTTTGCCTTACATTAAAATTTTATTTTCATTCAAGAAGCTTTCGTAACGGGGGAAGTAACTAATATGATCCTTTTCAATGCAACCAAGCATAATGCATATGCAACGTTCGTCTTAAAGAAGACACTTAAGCATTAGTATCAAAAACTGTAGTATCTTTTCTTTGAAATGATAGTTAGCCCCGTGTATTTCTTGTGCATTGCACCTTCTCGCC